ATTTAATAGGACATTTATCTCATGATTGAACAATTATATTATCAAAATCACAAGTATACACAAATTTGGCCACTAAATTGCCCCTTTTCACACACCAAGGCCCTTTTTCATACATACATGCATACATACATACATACATACATACATACATACATACATATATATATATATATATTCACACTTCAATTATGTCAAGCAGACAATCATGCACTTGTACTAATATCATATTTCACCTCATTTCACACCTATTTACATCATAAAGCTAATATACACATATAATCACACAAGTGCATCCAAATGCATTATGTGTATACATTCCTATGACAACTTATAAACATCAATATTTACAACAAGAAAATTCATTACACAAAACTAGAATGGGTTGACAACAATCAAACTACTCCTAGCCCAACTCTCTCCCTTTACTCCTATCCATGTCAAAACCTATAAAATAGTAACCACGGGGTGAAACAGTACCTCGGTAATTAAAATAATCTAAAACTATCTATTAACAAGAATAATCATAAACATGTGAATAAAATTTTGATATTATATTATATGATATATATATATATATATATATATTTTACATAAACAATTATAATCACAAGCATGATCATCCTATCCAATCGAACCTCCATATCATTCTAACTGAACCCATAGGCTCCACTGGACCAATTTTGTATACATTGATCTAAGCACACCTTTAATGATAGAATCACCTAATTAAAAGTGTTCTGTCCCACTTTCAAACTAGGGATTTCTCCTGTCACACACACACACACACGAGATCGGGGTGTCTTTATTTCAACACCACACCCTCTAGGTATTAAGGAGCTTAAAGTATGTAATGACTATTTGGATGTCTCATAATAACAATCCCTTACATGTTGCTATATTAGATGTCTCATGTTGGTAGTCCAACTATATAAATTTCTCACACTCTAATAACTAGGGTAAACTTTCACCTGCTATCATGGTCATGCCTTTTTCCCACATATAACCATATATTCACATGCATACTAAATAATCATTATACTTAACTTTTAAAAACAACTTTCTTAAATAGCTTACTTTATAAATCAAATCCCTCTTTAATGTAAAATTATGCAGGTTTCAAATCATGCTAATGCGTAGTATTATATACTATGCTACACGCATTTACTTATAAATAATTAAACTAGCAATAGATATAATGAATTATCTAGTTACCTTAACCCTTCTGTTTCTAGAAAGGGTTACTTATGGTACTTTTCAAGCTATTAGCTTCTACTTGCTCAAGTTGAACACGCGAACACATTAACCTATATAATTTAGTACTATTGGTCAATCACCAAATTAAATGTACATACTGATTAGCATAATTAATTGCAATTAACCACCTAATCTCTTTCACTTAACCATCTTAAACCCTAGTCATTCTCCATGAGCCTTTTACCCCTTTTATTAACTCAAATACAATCCACAACAACATTTTACCCTTTTAAACTCCACAATTTAGGCTAGATTGAGCCTATAGCCTCAAAATTTAATCATTAATTCTCAAATCAGTTACAAAATCTTATTTTAACTCTCAATAGCCATTTCCCAACTATCAAGTTAGAAACAACACCTAACACTCCCTAAATCAATTTTTCTATCTCTAAAATCAAGAGAAATTAAGGTAGAATAGGAGAGTAGAGCATTAAGAAATTTACTCGGTGAGTAACAGGTTGGAACAGATTCCTAGGTGCTCGTGAGTTAATGCCTTAGCATAACCAACTCTTCTCCTCTCTTCTATGTCTTTCTCTTCCCACAAATTGACCCACACATTGATATTCACATTTTATACTATGCGCCATGGCGCACATTACTTATGTTGCAGCGCATGTTATAGAAAGAAAACTCTTACTATGATTCACATGTTCTGTGCCCAACTGCCATTCTTCTACTTAATCCTAGCCATATAATTAGTCATCAACTCAAAATATTAATTCGCCACCCAAAATCATAACTAATTTACTAATTAGCCCTTAATTAGAAATTAGATTTTCGAATTAAAAGTTTAGGATGTTACACCTATGACTTCAATAGAGTTTAAGGGGGTTGTTCTAAGTTTCTAATCATTGGTTTAAACTAGTGTTAATGATGGGTTTAGAGATAACCCTGATACTAATTAGCCTAGATTAAGCTAATGGTGAAGTTCAACAGTGTTAGTTAAGCTGAATGAAAGTTAAAAATAGGATTTTTTATTGTCAAAATTGCTGATTAAGGTCTTAGGCCTTAATCACAATTAAGAGCTAATTATGACAATTAGTCATTCATGACATTTGTTAATCCTAAGCTGTAGATTAATAACTCTTAGAGCTTGTGGACTGTTTGTGAGATTTTCTCAAAATCTAAATTGTACTCTTTAGAGTGGTCAACTAAGAATTGAGGTAATCAGGAGTTAAATTATAGCATATGTTTGTGTCTACAATAATGAAATTGATTAATCATGGAATGTGAATGAATGTGTTTATGGTATGTTATTGAAAACGTATATGTGAACAAGAATTAAGGTTTATGATGTGAGTTATGTAATGGATGAGTATGTATCACATGATTGGATGGATTTAATTTTAGTTGTTTAAGTATGACTTGTTGATGATGATGTGATTAGATGTAAGCTATTGAACATGACTGTGACTTTATGATTTCTTAACCATGAGGATGATTATTAGATGAGTTGAGCATGGTTATGGCTATAGCATGTCATTGTCATAAAATGATGATCATGAATGCAGCATATTATGATAATGGTAATGTGATCTATTGATTATGGCTAGGGATTTATGATTTAATAAGCATGAGTATAATCATTTGGATGGATAAGTATGTGATAATTATGAATTTGTCATTACATATGATATGCATTTGCATGATCACAGATGGGTGAAAGTTCACTTAGGAGATTAGGATGTTATGGAAATCCATGCAGTATTCACTAGTATTGCGAGGCATCGATGATTGGCTCTCATTATTACTCTTAACCCCAACTATGCGAAGTTGATAATAGAGTAGAGTGACACCTTATGAGTTCTAAATAGGGGATTCTATGACCCGAAAGTAAGTATGAAATCTTAGCTTGGCCACCCCTCATGATTGGAGAGTGGAGTTAATTCGATTATATGAGTTAGTCACTCTAGGGCCAAGACTTAAGAGTAAAAACCTAAATGTTACTAGAGAAGAAGGAGGGATGAGAGATGAACTTGAATAATAAGAAAGTGACAATCAATAATAAGAGAGCAACAATCGAATCAAAGTGCCATGAAATAGGAAGTAAGTAGAGTTAAGCTAAAAGAGTGACAATCGAATAAATGTTTTTGCTTTTACCACTAGCTCCAAGAACTTTACCACTACCAATAACTCTCAAGGATGGATCAAGAAAAGAAGGGAAGATTGGGAGGGATTTAGGGACAAGGTTACGAGAAGAATTTAGAGAAAGAGGGAAGTAAGGAAGAATAAGATGTAGCTCAAAACACTACAGCCATGTGTAATGTCACGAGCAACGATAGAGAAAGAGGAGGCATAGTTGGCAAAATGGGCCGAGCTTGTTGACCTTGCCCATTTAAGCACTAAAATAACTAGGATCGGGTCACTGAATTAAAGGGTATAAATAAATTTCTAGCTTAAAAGGGCCGGCCTTAATGGGTCTAGAAATAAAAAGCCTGGGCCTTTTAGGCTTGATTTTTTTTTAAATTCAAGTAAAAATTGAAAAACATCAAGTGATTATCATACTTTAAGCCTGATTTTTTTTTTAAATTCAAGTAAAAATTGAAAAACATCAAGTGCTTATCATACTTCAAGTCCCTTATCAATAACAATCACTTTTGATGATGCATTTTTTGCATATTTTAAATACTTCATCAATTAAATTTGTTATTTTCTAATCTTATTTTATTTTATTAGTATTTAAATGATATTTCTTTAATCCTTTACAAATTATAATGTAGGACTATCAAGACAATTATATGAGTATGTGTGATTTTTTTATGGACAAGTTTGAAGAAGAGAATCATTTGGGTAAACCAATATTAAGTCTCATAATTTGAAAGAATTAGATATTAAACTAGTGAAAGAATAATCACATCGATTTCCAATTTTTTCAAAGATGACTGCTGATATTCTTAGTATTTCAATCACTACTATGGCTAGTGAATTAGTTTTTAGTATTGGTTCATATGTTTTGAAAAAAATATCAAAGTTTTCTTCTTCCAAATAATGTTAAGCTTATTATTTATACTCAGAATTGGTTGCATGATTTTGATATTGATTTGAATGTTTAAACTTTATAAATTTATTGTGGATTTACTTAAATTTATTTTTAGACTTAATTTTAAGTGTAATATCTTTTTTTTGAGATTATAAATACATTTATTAAGCTTTTAAACTAAAAAAAGAAAAAAAAACTAGAGCCGAGACACTTAGGGTTAGCCACACAGCCCTTAAGGCTAAGGCTAGGCTTCAAAATGAAGCCTTTTGGGCCTAGCCCTTTTAGGGTATGCCCTTTAAGGGTCGACACTAATTATCAACTCTAGCTGTGTGTGAGGTCATCATTGATAGCAAAAGAGGAGGAACTATATGTGACATTGAAGTTATTTAGTGAGAAGCTTGCAATTGTGGTGAGGGAATTTTGGTAATATGACTATATTGACCTTTATTCTTCTAAAGACCTCCTTTAGGACATTGAATTTACTTGTGGGATTTTTCTTTAGCAATTTTCCCAAATACTTATGTTCATGATGGTTATATTATAAAGTATTATAATTATAATTATAGTTATGTTTTATGATCAACACCACAATCATCAAAAGTTTTAATAATTTTTAATAATTATTAAAAAGTATATAAATTAATATAAATTATAATTATAATTTATGATTCATTATTAAAAAGTATAACTTAATATAAATTATAATTAACATTTTAACAATTTTAACAAGTATATAGTTCAATCATGGGAGCGGTACTTACAATCGAGAGCCTTCTCGCTAGAGGGCCTTCCTCCTCAAGCTTTCACTGCAGAAGCATAAGCGTCAAGCCCCAAATCGCTGGTTTCTCTCTTCTTTTATCCTGAGATGGATATCGAACAAAAGCAAGCGGATTTCATCGATCACTTCGTCAAGCAAGCCTCTGCTTCCAAGGGTTCGGGACTCGGTTCTGTGGTTGTTGAAGCCACTTCTAACCCTTCCCTCTTCGCTTTCTCTGAGATTTTGGCCGTCCCTAGTGTTGTAGAGGTTCGTACATGTCTCATTGATCTGGAATTCCTGTTTTTCACTTTTTCCCAATTTTTTTATTCTGCTCTAAGGCTTGTTGTTCGAGGGAAATAGATTCCTCCCCTCTAACTTATGTGGTTTTCATATTTTTTGCCACATATGATAATTCTTTCTTACTGTCTCGTGGTCTTTGGTCACTTCTTTGAAGTTACTTGAATTTCTTGACGCTTCCGTTTGTGTTCTTTCTAATTTATGTTTAAGCCTTGAAACATTGCCTTCACCTGTGAGTTTCATCCCTGTCGAAAAACTTAGGTTGCTATGAGTTGGATATTTTAATCCTTTTGCTTCATGAAGTTTTTCAAGATGATGGTTGTTAAACAGTAAGCTACTCCCACTTCGAGAAGCTTCATCCTGTCAAGGTTTTCTCCTAAAATTTTAGGGAAATAGTATTATGTTGATGACCTGATAAGATGTGTACTTCTGTTTGTTTTGAACTTTAACAGCTGGGGATAGAATTTGTTAAAAACAGAAGTCTCATTTTCCACTGGCTCCTCTTAATATGATTTTGTTGATATCATTTCTTTTTGTATATTTCACGGGGATTAGTGGGCTACGGGCTACCAAAGAAAGCGCTTTTTATATAAATATTTCACGGGGATTACCGGGCTACCAGTTTTTTCACTTAGGTGGTCTTGTGAATCCCCATGCTTTCATTTATTATGTAATAGTTAGTACAACTTGTAAAGCAGCACTTCTCTTTCTTAGGAGTTAGTACTTTCTAATAGTTCATTGTTAATTAATTCATATGGTTTTTCCATTCATAAATCATGCAGCTTGAAGGAACTGAGCATTCTGTCTACCTTGACGTGCTACGATTATTTGCATATGGCACGTGGAGTGATTATAAGAGTAAGCCTAAAGATTCATATTTCTGTCTTTTCCTTCCCGAAATTTTTTTGTTGCAGATTCTTGTTACTTTATATGCATTATGTAAGTATATTAACGATGGTAGGGACTGCAGTAATTTTCTATTCTTGCTGGCGTTGGTGCTTCTTAGAAGAAAATGTAACAATATTGTTCCCACTTCATTGTCAGCATATATGTTCAGCTGCTTTTGGATATTGAAAGTTTACGTGGATGCAGTTAGTACTGAGAATGGTTTCCATGAATTGATGATGATTGAAATTCTTCACAACATCCTACGACCATTTCGTATCTCTTTTATCATGGGCATTGAATGACCACTGTTATATCTCACCAATTCTTCTGGTTGATGTGGAGCTGAATCAAATGGAAATCATGTAGTGAAATAGAGAGGAAAAGAAGGTTTGGATGGAAAGAGAGCTACCAGTGATTGACAATGCTAAACATTTAACCTTAATTTTAAAAGAATAGTATGAAGTGGCATTTTTGAAAGTTCTGGAATATGCTGGTGAGGTGAAATTTATCCATTCATATATCTTGCTGCGTGGTCAAGTGCAGCAAAGTGATTGATTCTTTTAATTATCAGTGTTAAGATATTGGGATGCGAACCTTGCAATGAGTGGCTTTGTTTAGAAAGTAAATGTTTGCATAGGAAGGTTGCATTCTTGTTTCATGGATTCTCAGAAATTGGTGATGACTGTTGGGCAATGAGGAATTGTGGGATGCTGATAGGGTGATCAATTGAGGACTCAGCTTCTAAATAAGTTTATTGATCATTGCGGACAATATATGTAAGAGGCTGCTATGGTTATTGCTGCTCTCGGGTATCTATCAGAATCTTTAAATCTAGTTAAAAATAGATTCTGATTCATCTAATTAAAGCAGAAAAACATGAAAAGAAAAAATACAATCAGTGAGGTTATATTTGGCTGATAATTCCGTTATTGTTATAGTCAGGTATAATCTCACCATGCTAGGGAGATACTTATGATCCTAATTTATGATTGGTGACAATGAAAAGGATCATATTTATTGATCTTTTTTATGATGTTGGAAGTTTAAAAGTTGTCATCTGTAGTGCTATGAACTCACACAAACATGCATGTGTTTGGAACTGTGTGTATTCTTGTAGTACTCAGTTCTTGAAGTTGTTTGAGGAAATAATTGATGTATTGAAGTAAAATGATGAGTGATCAAAAGACTTGACCTATTCAAGCATCTTTTTGGCCTTTATGCCTTAATATAGGTTCACTTTTCCTATTAAATATTAATACAGCCATTTCTATAATTGGTCTTACCTATTATATTCTTATATTCATTAACCATTAGGGTTATCTGATAGCAATTCCACTTAGTGTGCAATATTCTTGTAAAATAGGTTGTTATTTGACATTGTATATGAAAACAATTACCCCTTTGAATGGTGAGGAAAACTGTGTTTTTCTCTTGTTGATCCATTATAAGACGTAGAAGATACAAGAATAAATAGAGGGAGGCTGCTGAGAATCAGGCCACCAAATCCTCTCGATTATGATACTGAATAAAACATAATAATAACAGCAGATTCTAATCCTTTAAACTTAGGAATGACGTCTAACCTAGATAATTAGGGTTAACAAACTAGAAAACATAATGGGCCTGGACACTCTTTTTAACAAATGGTTATCTTCACACTAAGGCTCATGTGACTACGCTCTTTTGCATTTTTCTGTTGGTAAATTATTTGAATTGGAAGTAGGAAATTCCTATTTCTAATATTCACCTTTCTAAGAATAGGATAGCTCTAGGTGCAAAGGTCTTATTTGTCATCTTTAAGGGTTGCGCATGCACTGTTTATGGATCATATAGTGGAGCTTGTCTGAAAAACATGGTTTGTAGGTAATGCTGGCCGCCTTCCACAATTGATACCTGACCAGATCCTCAAGCTAAAGCAACTCACAGTTCTTACACTAGCTGAGACAAACAAGGTATGGTGGCACCCTCTAAATCTCCGATAGATTTGGAAAAATCAAGTAAACATGTGGATTTCTTGACTTTCTGTTTTTGGCTTAATGAGTGATAATAATATTAATTTATTGTTATTTTATTAATAAAATATGATTTTCTGAACATAAAGATATTGCAAATGAGAAGGGAATATATACTTCTAAAAGAAGTGAAGAACATTGGAAGGGAAAGGAACACCTTATCCAAATCTCAGAAACTGGGAAGTCAAGAATACAACAAAGCTGCTGAGGCTCTCTGTATATCTGACAGCGACACTCGTTTTAAAACAAATAAAGAAATCATCATAGAGAGACCATAATCATTATACTGTCCTGCAATTACTGAAGATGCCATGGAACACCCTTAAAATTGCTCGTAGTTGTTTCCAATTAACATCATAGTATTGTGAAAACAGAAAATCACCACAGAATTTTGCTTTCCTTCTTCCTAAAACCACTGAAAGTTGTCTTGAGAAATTGTTCCAGAAAGAGAGGACACCCTTAATGATCCTTGAAAGTGTCAAACAACTTGCTATACTGAGTGTGGAGAACACTGTTTTTGTTCTATGAACCTACATCAGGTCATTATAATTGATCCTGTTAATTACTGAGCTTCAAAATCTAACAACTTCTCCTTAGCAAGAGCCATAGAATCTGTTGTATCTTAATTTATGTCTTCTACTGGTTAACCGAAAGTATCACTTCTCTTTTCTTGATGATTTAAATTGGATATATCTCACTGTTAGATTATTGACCAACATAACTATAGTTACATGCTCTGTAGTACTTATGGAAGCTTATTGTCCCAAACATCTCCTCCCTGGATATCATTTCAATTCTGTGCAGGATTCTATTATCATTGTTGTGTTCTTTCTTGCATTTGCTCATACGGAAAATAATCTGGTTGGGAAAAACCACCTTAAAGTTTTTAGTTTTGGTTTAGCTGTTTGTACTTGTCTTCTAACATGCAATCATTCATCAGTCATCACAGATTTACTTATTCAGTTTTCTTCCAGGTGTTGCCTTATGACCATCTAATGCAGGAATTAGACGTGACAAATGTACGTGAACTTGAAGATTTTCTAATTAATGAGTGCATGTATGCGGTAGGCATTGCTTCCTCTCAGACGTTATATTTCTGCTCAAACGTGCTTAATATATTTCTATTTGCATATATTGTTTTGTTCTGATTAATGAAATGCCCTTTTTAAGGACAAGCACTATTGCTAGAATTTCTGTAATGATATAAAATAATATCTACAAGGGTCAGGAGAAAGAGATTAGAAGACAATGAAGCAGAAATTGGGAAAACTAATTCTATAACGGTCCAGTTCCACTTTAAATCCATTAAGAAACCCCTCTAGCAATAGCATGAGAAAACCTCCATGGGAAAGTTGTGAAAGCTACCCTGTACCCCATAGGCTGCAAAGAAAGGAACCTATTGGCTATGGCTAAGTATTCTATCATCATAATCTGGTGGAGCTTAACACATTCCAATAATCAGAGAAATTTTCTTATTGTATGTGGGAATTAGAAGATTGGACTACATCAGGGATCATCTCTGAGTCCTTATTTGTTCAACTTGATCTTAAATGTTTTGACGGAACATATTCAAGGAAAAATTTTGAAATGTATGCTTTTCGCGGATGATATAGTTCTTATAGCAGAGACAAGAGAAGAGGTTAATTGCAAACTTGAGTTATGGAGAAGGACATTGGAGTCGAAAGGTTTTCGTCTGAGTAGAAGTAAGACGGAATATTTATATTGTAAATTTGGTAAAGGATTATTCGACAATAATTTGGAAGTAAAATTGGGAGATCAAATTATACCTCAAGTGGAAAAGTTTAGATATTTGGGAGCCATTATTCAAAATGATGGCGAAATCAGTGGAGATATTTTACATAGAATTCAAGCTGGGTAGTTTAATTGGAGAAAAGCTAAAGGAGTTATTTGCGACCGTAAGGTGCCTAATAAACTTAAAGGAAAGTTTTATCGCACTGCTATCAAACCGGCAATGTTATATTGTAGTGAATGCTGGGCTCTAACGGGACAGCAAGAGCATAATATTGGAGTAGCAGAGATGAGAATGTTACGATGGATGTGCAGACATACACGTAAAGATAAAATTCGAAATGAGCACGTATGCGAAAAAGTGAGGGTGGCACTTATTGAGGAAAAAATGGTAGAAAATCGGTTGAGATGGTTTGGGCATGTACAAAGAAGACCAAGGGAGGCACCAGTGAGAAGAGTGGAACATACAACTTTGAGTCTGATTAAGAGAGGTAGAGGAAGGCCTAAGAGAACACTTTTAGAAGTTATTGAACGCGATCTCTTAATTAATAATATTCTTAAAAGCTTGATAAATGATAGAGTACAATGACGTCTTGCAATCCATGTAGCCGATCCCACCTAATAGGATAAAGGCTTGTTGTTGTTGTATGTGGGAATTAGGATAAGGTTGAATAACACCTGAACTGGTACTTCCTGTTAGATGTTTCTCATCACCTGAGCCTGAGAAGATTTCTGTTCTGTTGTAGCTTCTGAACCGTTGGAAGAAGACAAGTGAACCTGCTAAACCTGAAAGGTTAGTGCCAATGGAAAAGGGATACTACACATTCATTTTATGTGTAGGTGCCTGATCTGGTTCATGGGTTTAAATTCGTGTGAATTATATGTAAGTGCCTATAAAGTGAATGTAATGTGGCAACTCTTCTCTCGATTTAAGAGGCGCTGACCACCATATAGACAAGCTAAAGTGGTTTTGGTGTATTCTGTATGGAAGAGGGAAAACGGGGTTTTGTGGGATTTACCCTGATAGCTTGCTTTGAAACAACAAATTTATTATAAGTGTTAGACATTACACGCCTTCATAACAAAGTTCATGCTGGATGATCTAGCCTATTGTACCAAATCTGAAACAAAGTAACATCTATTATATCCATATTCACGTGAGATTTGATGGAGTTCTATATTGGCTGTCAAGGACCTAACGCAATACTCCTCTTTTGTTCAAGCTTGGGATCAGCTATAAAACATAAGTGGTGTTATCTGAAACAAATTAATTAGTTATATGTTATTTTTAGACTCCACCTATGTTTATAGCCGGTCCCAAGCTCAGGTAAAAGAGGAGGGTTGTGTTAGGCCATCAACAATTAACGTAAAACTTTGTTGAATCCATCATGAATATGGACAATAGACGTTATAATGCTAATGTTAGGTTGTTGTTCGTAAGTAACACTGCATGGCTTGAGTATAGTGATAAATGAGTTAGAGCCGCTGCATTGGCGTCCGGATGTAGTGTTAAATGAGCAACGGCTACCGTGTCATTTTGAACGTGCACAGCTAAAGAAGTTAGTCCATGAGAGCAAGATTAGATTTGGTACTTGGAATGTTGGGACATTGAATTGTAAATCTGTAGAGGTTGTAGGGGTTATGATTCAAAGGAAAATTAATATCCTATGCCTGCAAGAGACAAAATGGCGTGGAGAAGAAGCTAAGGATATTCAAAGTTTCAAACTTTGGTATACAGAAAAAGTAAGCACACGCAATGGAGTAGGCATCATTATTGATAAAGAGTGGAAGAAGAACGTTGTAGAAGTTAGCATAATTGAAGACAATTATTTCCTTAAAAATGATAGTTGGACATGAGATTGTTAATATTGTTAGCGCTTATGAGCCTCAAGTCGGAATAAAAGCTAGTCTTAAGGAATTACTTCGAGAGGACTTGGAGGGGTTGATTCAACACATACCATAGAATGAGAAGGTTTTTATTGGACACTTTAATGGGCATGTCAAGAGGGAGGTTGGTTAGTATGCGAGTGTGCATGGTGGATTTTGGTTTTGGAGAGATAAACAATGAAGGACAAACTCTTGATTTCTCGTTGGCGTGTGATTTTAAAATTGCCAGCACTTGTTTCAAGAAGAGAGATGAGCATCTCATCATTTACAAAAATGGAGCCTTAAAGTCATAGATTGATTTTCTTTTGGTTAGGAACACAGATAGAAGACTGTAAAAATTGTAAGGTGATTCTCGGGGATGCTGTAATGGCACAACATAGGGTCCTTGTCTTTGATGTGTATTATGAATAAAACTAAAAAATGTCGACAAGTAATATCACCAAGGATTAGCTGGTGGCAATTAAAAGGTGAGAAGTAAGATATTTTCAAGCGGAATCTTTTGGACAAAGGAATTTGGGAATCTCAGGGAAGTGCTGACATCTTATGGGAGGATATAGCTAAAAAGATAAGGGAGGTTGCAAAAGTATTTTTGGGAGAATCAAAAGGTTTTGGTCTAGAAGATGAGTCTTTGTAGTGGAATAATAGTGTATAGGACAAAATTAAACATAAGAAAAATTGTTTTAAAGCCATACATTTGTGTAATAATGAGAAAAATTGGGAAAGATACCATATGGCTAAGAGGGAAACTGAGAAAGCTGTGAGTGAAGTTCGTTCTAAAGTTTTTGAAGAATTTTATAAGAGCTTTGAGACAGAGAAATGTGAATAAAATATTTATAAAATTGCTAAGAGTAGGGAAAGAAAATCAAGCGATATAAAACAGGTAAGATGTATAAAAGATGGAGAGGGAAGAATTTTAGTTTACAGATGATGAAATTAAAGACAGATGGGAGACTTAATTTTCCAAACTTTTTAATGATGGAGAGAGTTTATCTAGTAACTTGGAGGATTTAGTAACTCATGAAGGAGAACAAAATTTGTCATTCTATCGAATAATATGTAATAAGGAGGTAAATGAAGCTCTTAAGAAAATGGCAAATGGTAGAGCCAACGGACCTGATTGTATATCTATTGAAGTGTGGAAATGTTTAGGTGAAGAAAGGGTGAGATGGTTAACTAAGTTATTTAATGTGATTTTATGGTGTAAGAAAATGCCTAACAACTGAAGGAGAAGTACATTAATTTTTATTTATAAAATAAAGGGGATATTCAGAATTGTACTAATTATAGAGAGATTAAATTCATGAGCCACACAATGAAATTATGGGAGAAAGTAATCGAGCATTGGTTGAGACTGGAGACAAGTATTTTTAAGAATTAGTTTGGTTTTATGTCAGGTAAATCGACTACACAGGTGATATATCTACCAAGGAAATTAATGAAAAATTATCGTTGTAAAGGTAAAAATTTACATATGGTTTTTATTGATTGGGAAAAAGCTTATGACTGTATATCAAAGAGAAGTGCTTTGGAAAGCTTTAGAAAAGAAGGGAGTATGGATTGCTTATATTAAAGTTATACAAGATATGCATGAGGGGGTAAAAATTAGCATAAGAATATCTAGTGGTTAAATAAAAGACTTTTCTATAAAAATTGAACTGCATTAGAGATCATCTTTAAGTCCTTATTTGTTTGATTTGGTCTTAAATGTTTTGACAGAACATATTTAAGGGAAAATTCTCAAATGTATGTTCTTCGCAGATAATATAGTTCTTATAGCAGAGACAAGAGAAAAGATTAATTGTAAACTTGAGTTATGGAGGAGGACATTGAAGTTGAAAGGTTTCTGTCTGAGTATAAGTAAGACGGAATATTTATATTGTAAATTTGGTAAGAGACTAGTCGACAATAATTTGGAAGTGAAATTAAAAGATCAAATTATACTTTAAGTGAAAAAGTTTAGATATTTGGGAGCCATTATTCAAAATGATAACGAAATCAGTGAGGATATTTTATATAGGATTCAAGTTGGGTGGTTTAATTAGAGAAAAGCTAAAGGAGTTATTTGTGACTGTAAGGTGCCTAATAAACTTATAGGAAAGTTTTATTGTACTGCTATCAAACCAGCTATGTTATGTCGTAGCAGGACAGTAAAAGCATAAAGTTGGAGTAATAGAGATGAGAATGTTACGATGGATGTGCGGACATATATGTAAAGACAAAATTTGAAATGAGCATGTATGTGAAAAAGTGAGGTAGCACCTATTGAAGAAAAAATGATAAAAAATCGTTTGAGATAATTTGAGCATGTACATAGAAGATTGTAGGAGGCACCAGTGAGAGGAATGGAACATATAATTTTGAGCTCTGTTAAGAGAGATAGAGGAAGGTCTAAGAGAACACTTCTGGAAGTTATTGAACGCGATCTCTTAGTTAATAATATTTTTAAAAGCTTGGTAAATGATAGAGTACAATGGCGTTTTGCAATCCATGTAATCGACCCCACCTAGTGAAATAAAGGTATGTTGTTGTTGTTGATATGTTATTTTTAGGCCTTTTATTAAAAGTTTTATCATGATTACAAGCAACTAAAACTGACTTAGGACTAGACTGTCATTTGGTCCATCCTTTTTCTACCCTTGTAGCAGCACTTCTCTTGTTGTTTGATCCCTTGTGAGACAAAGCTGATACTGGAACTCAACTGCAACATTATTGTCCAAACACAATTTTTAAATACTTGTAAGATTCTTTGTTAAGCAAGGATATTGAGTAGATTAGAAAGATTAAGAGTAGTAGGATGCTTAGTGCAAGTGACTGAATGTCCAATGTTCTTAATAAGCAAATCTGATGCATCTCCTATATACGCTTGCTTTGCTCCACTATTTGTCATTGACTGGCTTCACATCTGAGGCATCATAAGTGATAGGGCAGAAGATTCTATCCCATGTCTAGGCAGAAGTTTTGCTGCCCATGGTCCTAGTCAGCATCAATTCTGTTGTTGATAATGGCATCCGAGACATCAATAATTAGTCTTGTCAAATCCATGCAAATTCTGCTTTCCTTCTAGATGTTTGGTGACTTTAGCATATTCAATGGGAATTGGCATCAAAATACCAAGCAACCTTTCCAATCCATGGTGTTGCATTTCCTATCTGCTTCTTCCACAAGAGGAAGTTATTGTCATCAAGTTTCACTAATAAGTAGTGGATCAAAGAAGTTATATCCTTTCAATAATGGTTTGTTCTACCAGAATGCTTAAAGATGTTCCCATCCTTATCTTTTTCTCTGATACCATACTAGAAATAGATAAGCGCACACAAAGAGAGAGAGAGAGAGAGAGAGAGAGAGAGTTCCACTTTATCAATGATGAAGTATACCTATTTATACCAAGCACCTAGTTAATATTCTAAAATTAATTGAGTATATGTATGGCTGTCCAAACGCATAGCTATCTCTAATAATATACGATTATCTTGATTGTGTGGTGAAGGATAAAGTAGATTTCGAAAAGTAAGTTTAATGTAATTTAATCTAATTACTTAATATTTAAAATTAAGATTAAGAATTGTAGATGTTTCATTAATTTGGTATTTTAATAAAGAATAAATTACTATCAGAATTAGTTATCTTTGATGTGTCTTATTGTTTTAATTTAATAAGGAATACTTATTTGATTATTTTTTAGGGTTCTAAGCTTTCTTATTAGCTTTTTTTTTTTTTAAATAAATATCCTTTGTGCTTTATGCATAAGGCTACTACTAGCTATGCTTAGGCATTTAGAGGGACTAATTTATAGAGTTCTAGTAGCTTTCCTTTACTTTTTCTACATCTGACCCCTTTTATGCATTCTATGCACTCCCTTCCTTTATGCTTGCTAGTGGTTTTACATCAATTTAGTGTGAAGGCAAGGAGCCCATTGTTCCAATCACACTTCTATTGTTTGAGTTTGTCGTGTAGTCAATTCCATGTTCGGATAGAGGAGAGTTGTGTTAAGCTCTCAATAGCCACTGTAAAACTTTGTCAAATCTCACATGAATATGGATAGTATATATTTTTGTGCTAATGTTAAGTTGTTGCCCTTTAGCAACATGACATATGGATTGAGTATAGTTTCAATTGAGTTAGAGTTGATACATTGGTGCCAAGATGTAAGGTTAAATGAGCAAGGATCTGGATGGATGCGGTTAATGAAGTTAGTTCACGAGAGTAAGATTAAATTTTTTACTTGGAATGAAAATGTTCAAGAAAAGATCAAACATAAAAGAGATTGTTTTGACGCCATACATTTGTGCAAAAATGTGGAAAATTGTTAAAGGTATCGTATGGTTGAAAACAAGACTAAGAAAGCAGGGCATGTTCTAAAGCGTTTGAGGAGTTTTACAATGAGTTAGTGACATAATGGGGAACATAAGATTTAAAGGATTACAAAAGATAGGGAAAGAAAATCAAGAGATTTGGGCCAAGTAAGATATATAAAGAATGAAGAAGAAAATAAAGAGAAGGCATAATGGCATTATGCGATCCATGTCCCACCTAGTGGGATAAGGGTGGTGGTTGTCGTTGCCTGTTTCTAACCTTCAGTTTTGGCTTGGTGGCATTAGACACTAATGTGATAATGGTTTAAGTGCCATCAGCTAGCTACATAGACAAGTCACTTGAAAAATGTGATAGAGGTAAAGGCGAAATAAGAGTGCCTTCAACAATGTTCCAATAGATTAGAAGAAAACTATTTCAATAAAGGAACATTGTCGTTGATCCACTTGAGTGCCTGTTAGATATTGATGATGATGATAACATTATAAATTTTGATGAGGAATTGAACTTAAATTTAGACACTTAAAATCATGATGTTCCTACCTCAGCTTGAACTTTAAAATTCTACCCTTGATACGACCACATTTAGTCCATTGACAATTAAAAGAACTTAGTCGAACGATAGGCTTGATTCAATAATCTTTATTTTAATAGTATCTTATCAACCTAATGAGATTCCTTTAATCATATATCTAATTTGTTTTTATACGTATGTATAGCATTTCTAAAGCCTATTATATGCATAAGGGGCGTGTCGTGTACAAAAGAGATGAAGCATGATTCAAGTGTATGATAAATACAGTAAGCATTAGTTTCATGCACAACTTATTGTGATCATATAAACCATGTTGTTAATATATTTGTATCATATTTGTCCTCATCAAAACTCATGACGTTGAACTTTAGGACTAACAACAAATTGACTTTTTATTTTGCCATTTTGCCAATAGTTTTACTAATTTTCAATTTCTGCAATACTATGGTGTTACAGATTACTCGCTGATTGTAAGAGATTAATATGATTCTCATTTTCCCTTTATGATGCTGTTTTAATCTTATGTTTGGCAATTATCTTTGTGGAGTTCTTTCCTTATTATTACTATTCTGATGTTGTAGAAAAATTATTGAATAGAAACAAATATTATCATAAATAAATGGTTAATGTCAATCTTATTGGTTCCATCAGGGTATAGTAAGAGGAAAGCTGGATCAACTGCGAAGATGTGTTGAGGTCCCTGCTCATGATCTCGTTCATGATTTGGCTGGCTTCTTTTTCATTTCTATCACTGCGTTTGTCCTCTTTCAGAAAATTTGCTGATCTCTGAGGGTGTACTTTAGGTCCAATTTGCAGCAGGGAGGGACTTGAGACCTGGTCAGCTGGGAAATATGATACATACACTCTCTAACTGGTAATGTAATTATTCTTGTAGCGAAGAAATTTATTATAGCCATATTTCAACTTGGCAATCAGTTACGCGTAGCTGGTAACGTCCTTAGATGGCCTATTCAGATGATAAACATGACAAGACTTCACAACTGTAATGTGATAGGGATCATGTAATTTCTTGCTACATAGGGTTAATTCAAATCAAAGCTTTAAGTTGCATTCTAGGGTTAGTTCAAATCAAAGCTTTAAGTCGCATTCTGATGAGGTTTTATTTAAAAATGCTATTTTCCTTGAATTTTAGACTGTATAGCATCCAAACTCACTTATAGTTGGCTTGAACTTTCAGTTATCAAGCTTGGAAATTTTTGTTTCACTTATAGTTGGTAAATGAGGATTCAACTTCTTTTAGTGCTGTGGTTGTCTGTTTCTCTTAGCTTCTCTAAACCATAATTATCTCCATTATTCTTTTTCTTATTTTTGTGTTGCCAATATCTTGCGTGGAGTTCCTTTTTAAAATATTACAGGTTGGCTTCACATCTAGTATTTTAATATTGCTTACTAGGTTGTCTACGTCAGATAATATGCTTGCTTCAATTCAAGAAAAGATAAAATGGGCTGATACTATGAGTGAGTTGGACAAGAAGCACAAGAAGGATGTGGAAGAAAAGGCGGAAGAAGTGAAGAAGTTAATTTTCAAGGTCGGTTGAATTTAATATCATGCCTATCTCATTCATATCGGTGATTTTCTTTACTCACATGGATAAGAGGATGACCCGTCAGAAACATGCTTGTAATTTGAATCATTGCTGGCAATTTCCCCTTTATTAGGTGCTGTGTCATGGGATTGATCTTTTATTCCTTTGCTTCTTTACCTTCAATATAGGCAGGACAGTTTTGAACAGATTGCCTGTACTTGCACTTGTAAAGAAATTTTAATTTATTCTGTAGTTTGTATATTTGTGTTCTGCAATTGGTTTAGCATAGATATGTCTTGAGTTCGTTATGGCTGTACTTAAGTTCCACCCACCAACCACTTGCACATACTCACATGCTCTCAGTAAGAGGAAGATGAAAGAGATGAACCACTTACTACTTGCAAGTTTGGGCTTATCTTGAATTTTTTCATAGTAATCTTTCATGACAAAGCCAAGACAGTAATGTTGAATGGGAGATGTACAATTTCCACTTTTACTATTCATAGATACTTGCGCATGTAATTCGTTATGTAAAGTTCTCTCAATAGAACGGATGGCGCCATTCCAAATTTTGGCAAAACCAAATCAACTTAACTTTTAGTTTTGGCACTTTTTCTTAAACATCTTTATTATGCATGTCTAATTGGCATCGCAGGAAAGCTTGGTTTCTGAAAGAGAGAAATGGCCATGTCCATGTAGGAGTTTTATTGGCCCACTTTATTTTAAATATTATATAGAGCTGCTCAGGGAAAAAATGGAGCTCAGGAAATTTTTTGAATTATTGAAACCAGCTTTGCACTTCCTTATGTTTGGATGTTGTCAAACGTACTATTATAGCATTATTACCATGGTAATTAAACTGACTTCAGTTATAAATGTTTTTGCCACACATGGATTCTTTAGAGTCTTCAGGTTAAATTAAAATTTATTCCATGCAATACTTTGGAAGCAGCAGCACTCTTTTTTAGGAAGAGACAGAAATGAGATTTGTTTTGCGTAGATAACTGCCTTTTTCTGCCATTCTTGTTTGATATCATATGATTATATTTAGGTTAATACAAATGCTGGGATATATTGGTCGATGTGTCTTACTTACTTTGTGGCAGAAGTTGCACACTGTCAGCAGGCCGACATTGACTTTCGAGGGCATGAGGAGATCAACTCTGAATCTGGTGGAGTGATGGACTATGAGGAAGATCGAAGCCGACCTAAAAGGTGATTTGAGAGAGCTTTATGGGCTTCAAAGTATTTGACTAGATTCTCTTTGACAAATTTTGGTTGTGCGCATGCTAGTTAATGGCAATAATACCCAAAGCAAAAAAAGTGGTTTAAGTTTTGATTCCTGGTTGGTTCTCAATACTGCATTTTATAATTTTTTCAGTTCAAATATTTGGTGTTTGAACACTTAATTAAATATACTGAATAGGCTTTCCCACCCCATCTTCCCTTTTCTCTTAGGTTCTTAATTCGAAACTAGTACGGGACCTGTCTTTTTAATGGAAAAGAATTATAACATGTAATTTAGGTGTTAAAAGTCGGACCAATCATTGAATTGGTCAAGGCATTAGTTCAAGAATTAATGGTCAAAATCATAGTTAAAACATGGTTAAACTAGTCATACAAAGCATTTTATTTAGTTAGTTAAGACATTAATTTAACAGTTTACTAGTTCAATTGGGTGGATTAACCTGGATATCTATACTATGCATGTAATATAAGAGGAAATTAAAACTGAAAATGCGTTGTTTTGGTAGTTTACATGCGTGACTGATGATTTTGGGATGAGTGCAGGAGGCGGCATCCACTATCTTGAAGAGAGTAGGAGATAAAGGAGCTCAATGGATGGGTGTGTTTAGAAGCTTGCCTGACTTTTATTCATGGCATGCATCCACTGAGAGATTATCCTCTGCTTTTGGAGACAAATGTTACCTCTTTGATAGAGCTCTGATCTGTCCCACCACAAACATCATCATTATGAGGTAGGGGAGAGAAAAACAAAGGAAAGACTTGTTATTGGCTTAGAGTTGTATTTCAGGATTGTTAGTACTTCTTGAACCATTCTGTTCCCGTGAAGGTTTTTTGGGCTTGAACCGGCTGAGTTGGTGGTGCGGATAATTTTTTCTGGAGCTAGATTTCTTTTACATGTTTCATTCATATATGATGCTTCTATTGCTTTGCTACTCACAGCGTTGAATATATCTGCATGAAGATATTTTCCGTGGTGATTTTAATCTTTAGAATATAAAAGTAGGCATAGGCTCAATTCTTATCAAGTAAGATTTAACGATGTGGATGGAGAAAATTACAATGAAAGTTACCTCAGGTAACGGTATAATTCTATGTAGTTGGCAAAAAACTTGGTAGCATGACTGAATATCAAATAATTATATAAAAATTATATCTGGTTCACCAAAAAAAAAAAAAAAAAGAGTAAACTCTATCAATGAATATACTTAGGAATACTTGGTAACGTGATAATAAGCTTGTATAAGAGGTGGAGGGTGTTTTTTTTTGGTTTTTTATAATCGATATATCCTCAGACTTGGATTCTCGAGTAAATGGTGTCGCAGACTCACTGTAATCCCTCAACCAGATATTTTTAAAAATAATTTTTAAAATTTCCTTTTAATAAATATATTATTTAATAGGTATTTTTTATTTTCTGCATCTGTAAATGTAAAAATATTTTCAAATATAAGTTAAAGTAAAATGTAAACTCTGTAAATTATCTATAGCAAAAAATGCTGAATTGAAAATTGAGAAACGTAGTGGGGTTGAATGCCTTTGTTCATGTATGGTGACTAGCGCGATATCTTTGATGCCAAAGAAGACTTGATTTTTAACATGGTAGCACATTAAGAGAATGACTTAACACGCTTAATGGAAGCATAAACATAAAATTAAGTCGTTTTCAAAGCCACTGACGTGTTAAGACAATCCTGTTAACATGTTAATTAAAAGCTACTTATGAGAAATAGGATTTCATACTTTATAAAACATCATTGCCATTTGTGCTAGTTTTTTAATTTTAAAATCATTGCAGAAACTATTTTTGTTTGAAAACAAGTGTTTTTAATGCTGTGTTTGGATTAATAGAGATTTGGATTGGGACCAAATCTCTCATTTGGATACACAAATTTATGAGTTTGGATTTGATTCAAATCTAAATTTATTTTAAATTGTAATTTCTTATAATTTTAAATTTCTTTTACATCATAGTCATTTTAAAAATCTCATTCTTTTCGTGTTGTCACTATTAATATCTTTATAATTCTCATATATTTTCTCATTTTTTGTCAATGAAAAAATGTAAATAAATTTGTCATTTTCAATTTTTTCATGTGCGTTTTAGATCTCAATTCATCTCTCTTTTTCATTTAAATTTTTTAAACTAACTAAACAAAAAATTTAAACATGAATTTTAAATGTGATAACAGTTCAAATTTAAAATTCAAATTCAAATCCATCATTTCAAATGTTATCCAAAACTCTTTCATAAGTATCCTAAGACTTGAAGCATATAAAACATAGATAACCAAGTCTTCTATTAAATCTCTTCATCTTAATTGTTTTATCATTATACTCTAGCAATTAGCTCAACAAAACAAGCCTTCTACAAGGTTCATTATCATCAAAACCGTGTGATCCAATTGTCAAGATTCCTCCTTCCTTGCTTTTACGTGACACCTTGTTTGTTTCTTTAAAGAAGGGAGCTAAAATCCAGTCACAAGCTCTTTACATTTAACTGAGTGAATTTCATGTATTGAAAAGGTTGGGCCACTCCACCCATATTATCAGACTATAATATTTAAGCTTGTAACTTCTGTAGCATAATAAAGATGGTAGGCAATATAGTCTAAAATAACTTGAAAAAGGAGTGAATTGGGTTACTAAAAGTTTGATTAATAAATTAATTTTTTAGAATAATAAAGAAAGAGTTAGAATGATTTCACTGAGAGTTGATCAAAAGAGGAGATAGAATGCAATACTATGATTTATAATGGGTTGGTCAATCCACTTACCTACTTCCAATCTCAAAGACTCACTTGAAAATTTCACTATATCTTCCAAGATTTTCACAGGCTTCTGGATGTCTCATACAATCCACAACACTTCTTGTCTGAAATTTCTTTCCCTTACAAAGGTAATTAATTCACCCACTAAATTGCCTTGAACTGATCAATGAATCTAATTAATGCAATATCATTTATA